TGTCCACAGCCCGAGGGGAGAAGTGAATATAAACCAGTTACAAGACCTGTTTACCCTCACTCTTCCCCAAAAGAATGGTCAAGGCGGCTGGCTGTGTAATGGACGTACAGCAGTAGGTTAGTGGGCTGAGCAGCTCCTTTAGAAGACCACACTGTCATAAGAGTTAAAAAAAAAAGCTGTGCCCTTTTTTTCCCGTTGTCTAGGTGAGATGAGTCAAAAAAAAGGAATTTGAAACTGCTGACTCTCACCATTTATGCTAAACTCTGGAATGATTGCCCCTTTTATTCCTAAAATCAATGATAATGTCCTTTAAATCCTTAAATAAATATTCAGGATGAGGTGGCTCTCTCTGACCATGGTGCCAGCCTTTGAACTTTGTTTCTCCATAGACTCCTTCTTCACTGGTGCTGTTGAGCCCCCAACAATTTTATCATTCACACATGTAAACAATTATCTCGGTAGACTTTGCAGTCATGGGGAAATAGAGAGTAAAAGGTAGGAGTGGGCACACAGCACACATGGTGCTGTACCTGCTCTGAGTTTGACTTTGGAGAAGATCGAGACATGCTGGGGTCTGTTGGTTAAAAACAAAACTTAATCCACCAGCACTGTTTTGCTCCTAATCCCAGGGGCTGCAGATTCTCCACTACCTTGAGTTATTTGAATTAAAAGCTGAAGCGAAGTCCTGCATCGGTATGCAGAACCCTGGCTTTTTAAATTACTGAGGGCTGCATGGAGAGCTGGTGTGACCACATCCCCATCAGTTCACTTTGTAGGCATACTGCTCATGATCCACATCAGGGGGGGACAGAAAATACACCATGACTTTAACTCTTTAACTTCAGGATTTTCAAACAGGCCATGTTCCATGTTTTCAACTTTCCATGAAAGAATGATCCAACATCTATCCTTAAGGTTAGTAATTCTGCTCAGTCCTCATGTTACCTGCTGAAGCTCATTCTCCGTCTCCCAGCAAAAATATTCAGACGCTGCCAGTCATGTTGTAAAAAAAATATATTTCTTGCATCTTCTTGCATCACTCTTTATCTTCTGTCTTTATTTGAAATACTTTACTGATACAGAAAAAATTATATTTTGAGTTATGCCAGCATAGTTTTGCGGTGGCTACATATGCTTTTCATTCAGTAAAAAAAAAAGAAATTCGATTTTTGATTTTTTTTGGCAGACAGAGTGCTATTCTGTACCAATCCAGATAAGAATTAGCTGATTGTAGTCAGCAGAAAAGTTTTTCTTAGAACTATAGTTGGTGTTTAACAGACTCAGTGCTTCCTTTACATATTTTGCCTTAGGGAATTCAGAAAACTAAAGGAAAATGTGGGTTTTAAATTTTGCACTATTTTCTGTTTTTGTATACAGCCATTGTTTCAGTCAAAATGAATCACTTTTTTATGCTGTTGAATTTCTTCCCCCTTTCAAATTTCTTGCTTTTTTATCTGTTCTTTTTTCTTGGTTTAAAGAGTTGGACTCTACATTTTGAGACAGCTAACCGATCACAGCTTTTTTTATAATCTATTTCGATTACAGGTACACAGAAGAAGTAATCGAGAACCAGAGGAAATAGGAAAGTGTGACTCCAAAAAGGAAAACACATTTCAAAGAGAGTAAATTGACCCAAACAGACACAGATCTCCAAAGAAAAATCAAAAAAACATTTTTTTTTTTATTCATCACATGCTACTTCAACTATCTTGGTTTCCTTGCTGTAAAGCATCAGTCCCCTGAGTGGCATAAACGCCCCATCGAGCACGTAACCCCAGCATCCACAGTTTCTGTCTGTAGCCACACACAGGCTGTCCAGTTTCCTGCTTTGGCCGGGTGGAGTCTTCCTTATCACACAGCCATATCTCTTATCTGAGCCCAGAGGGGCAGAATCACAACTTCCTCAGAGACAAAGTTGTTTGAAAGGGGGAAGAGGTTGTGGCCGGTTGTGGTCGCACTCAAACAGAAGCTTGGTAGATACCATCGCTTACGTAAATGAGGAGCATAGACAGGGCTCTGAGTGTTGCCGCTGAAGTCTTTCACCGCACACTGGAGGCGGGGGAGAAAAACCTATTGTTGTTTCTGCCAGTTAGGAATGTTGTGTTCGTCACCAAGCTCATAATTAATGCTGTAATTGGGTCAGACGTGGATTAGGTTTATTCTTAAATCCAAAAGCAACTTACTTATCATCACCTGCTTGGTTCTCGGGGAATATTTGTGTCCTTTTCTATCCATTGTCTGTTAATTATTTCACTGGAATGAGTTTCTTCCTACAGAGACCAAAATTATTATTCAACGTTGTTTCTTTCTCAGGGCTTAGATTCTAATAAATCAAAGCAATCCTCTCGAGCTTTTCTGTTGTTGTGGCTAAGACTTGGTTAACCAACATGATTATTAAGGGAAGTGAGTTCATTTGAATTTTAAACAGCATAATTATAGGTCTTTCAAACCTTCAGGGATAAATGGACTCTTGTCTGAGTGCCAAAACTCTTGGTTTAATTTTCTAACCTGCTAACCATGGAAGGACGTACGAATGCTTCTCTATTAGAGCATCATAAAAAGATGTTTCACAATTATATTCAAACCATACACTATTTATATGATGACCTTTCGGCTCATATTATCACACTTTTCCTTTCGTTGCACATTGAAATTTATGTTCAAACTGTTGTTTTATGTTATGTTGGATTTAGTTTGAATATGTTTTCAGTCTACAAATGTTTAGAGGTTCTTAGTCTCAGTTACAATAAAATGATTGGTAAAAATCAACTTTCAATTAACATCTAGAGTCTCTACACATAGAGCCTATTTATTAAAGTGCAGTTTAGTTAATCAATTTTAAGCAGAAGCTTGATTAACAATATTATCAGAGAATATTGTACTAGTACTCATCGTCTTTAGCTTATTCTAGAGCCGCTCAGAGGCAGCAGTCTGTGCAGAGATGCCCAGACTTCCATCCCCCAGACACTTCCTCTAACTCCTCAGGGGGGAGCTCCTGGGCTTCCTGCCGCTGCGATGTAACTGGAGCACCTCCTGAGGGAGGAGTACGGATGCTCTCCAGTTTCATAGATTGACAGCCAGCGACAAATTAAACATGTCTGTTCTGTTTTGCGTATTTGCTGCACGCGGAGCAGCTCATTAGCTTAGCATCATCCTCATAAATAAGCCAGTCTCTTGTGAAACACAGTCTTCCCAAAGCGCCGTTTTTTATTAAACTTTCTCTTCGCCCTGGTTTTAGCATGGGACCTTCAATGCTAAGCCTCTGATGTGAACCAATAGGAAGAACTGGGGCAAACCTTCATCCTCCTCACCCAATGGTTATGTTAAATATCAGTAGTTAGCTGTTAATGTCCAAAATATATGTCATGACTTGAAGCACAACATCAAAATTAGACTCCTGTGCAGGAGCATCATTTTAATATCAATTAGATCTTATGCTTTACATTATGGTTATTATAGATAGTTGGTTTGCTGATCAAACTGAGGTTGTTTTCTTTAATCCAACTGTTTTTAATATTCTTTTTTTGTTTCTGCATCTTTAATCCAACTGTTTTTAATATTCTTTTTTTGTTTCTGCATTTTTTATTTTATTTTATTTTATTTATTTTTTTTTACCTACTTGCTTTGATTCTGTTTTATCTTCCTGTATTTTAATTACGTAAAGAACTTTGCATTGTCTTTGTACTGAATTGTGCTATAAAAATAAATTTGCCTTGCCTTGCCTTGCTTTGCCTTCTGTATGAGTGTAGCTTTGTTCCAGGTATTTCAGTTAATTTGACTTTTTCCATCACCCATAGGTGCTTGTGTGTGGCCATTTGTATAGGATATTACCGGTACCAGATTTTTGCTTATTGGCTGGTTGGCTACAATCTGCAATATGGTATTAAACAGAGAAAATGGGTAAACGTAAATCCTACAGAGCTTTGTTGCCAACTCTTGATTTGTACATTTTGTTAATCAAGGTCCAAGCTCTAATTTCTTGAGCAATTTGGAACAATTATGTGTTAAGTCCTTTTGTAAAGCTTTGAAATGCATATATCAGTTTATATAAATTTTCCTTCACTGCATTGGAAGATTTTTTTCCAGCTTTCCTCCCATAAGTGGTCATGAATGAGACATGTTAGAAGCAGAGGCAACATTAGGCCGCTTTCAGAGCAGAAACTATGTTTAACTTTGTTTTAAACGGTCTTTAACCTCTTATATTTTTATTTTAGCACCGTGAGCATGACTAGAATTAGTAAATGAGTAGATTTACTAGGCTGAAGAACAGAAAGACTCACACATAAATGGCTTCTTCCCTTTTCTGTGTTTCCCCTGACTTAATTTTCAAGCAACTCATGCAGAGAATGGCTAACAATGAGTCAGCTTAAATATGCTGTGTCGACGTAAAAAGGAACAATTTCCATTTTCATTTTGTTTAGACTTGGTAAATTGATTTTGTGCAAGAGGAAAACAATATCTGTTTTCAAGTTTTAATTTGAACCTAATGAAATATCAATTGCAAACGGAGATATAAACAGAGAAACTTTGATCCTAATGAAGAAAATGTCCTCTTCATTGGGAGCATGAGTTTAAAGGCAGGGAGAGAAAATGTGTTTTCTTGACATTACCTCAGAAGAGGACTTGTTTTGTACCACTTTAGATAATAAAAAAATATAATTAAAGAGCATAGATATTTGTCTTTAATCATCACTGGACTAAATCAATAACCTTGATATAACAGCTGTTTTATTCCAAAATATATCTGGCTTTTTCTGGGAGACAAACATTTTGTTTTAAGATAGATTGTGGAGGCAACAACACAAACTGGCTCCTTCTATTTAGTCTTTCTTGTTGGCTCATGATCAAAGCTTGATGTCGGGTTAAGAGGATCTCAGTCCTACCTCCTTGAACCTATTTCACTCTCTTCTTTTAAGGGTCAGATGAACAAACGTGGTGCAAGTGTTCTTAGTGTAAAGAGGCTCCAATTAAACCAGAGTTGTTTTGCTCTCTGTTTGCAGAGATTGAAGCCAGGGAGGCCTGTGACTGGCTGAGAGCTGCCGGCTTCCCTCAATATGTACAGTTATTTAAAGGTAAACATAATAAAGGTGTTTTGATATAACCATAATATTTAGTTTTCCCTCAGGTGACCATTTGTTGTTTCATGTGTGTCAGATGGCAGGTTTCCAATCGACACCGAGGCGGTGAAAGAGGATCACAGCTTCCTGGATAAAGATTCTCTTGATTCGCTATGCAGGTTTGTACTTCGGGGTTTTATCATCTTGACTTTTAAATATTTTTATTTGTTGGTTTTGCTTTTCTAAGAAGCAAAAATAAACTTTTTTGCACTTAAAGTCCCACTGGTGTCTTACAAAAGTGTTGCTCTCTCTTGCACCCTGAATGATCCACAAACATGTCTTAATGGAAATCATTTTCTATTTAAAACAGCTTCAAATATTTCCATGCAACATCTCTTCATTTTGAAAACTGCAATGGCAAATTTCTTCACTCAGTAACATCTACAAGACTGTTGCTGTCTGTTGGTGCATATATATGATGCGTTCATTGACCAAAGAAAGGTGGGATATTAAAGAGGCACCAACAGAGCTGCCAGATTTCATCTTCTCTTCCTTGCTCCATTACTGTCAAACTAACGACCAGCAGTTCCAATTACCAGATGATTTCCCAGTACATGTTAAGTAAAGAGTTTGAATAATAACACGTGTGCAGCAGATCCATTTATGGGTTTCTACATATTGCAACCTGGTTTGAGATAAAACAGACAATGAGGCTTTATGCCTGTGAGAAGGAGGCAGGCTCTCTAAGAAAAAAAGATTGGGTACTGCTGCTCTTAAAGAAAATAAGTGTCATGGTAATTAAAACTGAGCAGTTTGTGTTGCTCATCCAGTAATCCTATATGTATGTATTTTTTCTTGCAGACGGTTGCTGACCTTAAATAAATGCATGGAAATGAGACTGGAGCTTTGGAGATCCAAACGCAGGGTGAGCTTTGGAAGCAAACCTGGACATCAAGAGGAGAAACCAGTTAAATGTTGTTTTTTCTGGATGCTAGATGTAAAATATGAACAGGGTGTCTTTCTGCAGGGAGATGACTGGGAAGAGGAAGACTATTGCACCATCAGCCCAAATTGGATCTATGACAAGCAGACCCAACATTGGCGACGCATTAATTCCTCTGAGGAGAGCCCGGGGCCACGGGGCCCATCGCCATGCGAGGACCATCAGGATGTCTGCTCCATCCACAGCTCCAGCAGCACAGATAGCGAACGTCATGATGGTCACAGGGAACTGGTGTCCACCATCACAGCTGTCGCCACAGATGAACCGGAGACTAGCCGAAGCTCCTCTCGCTGCTCCTCCTCAAACCGGACCCCATCTTTGGACACGTCTCTCAGTGGACCCCCTTCCCCCACTGGAGGATCCTCAACTATGAGCCTGGAGGCAGAATTGAGTTTTCCAGAAAAACCTCCCAGGAAGAAGTGCACCACTCTGCTGAGGAAGATGGAGAAGCTGAGGCTGAGGGGGGCAGGCAGCGGCCACAGCCGGACCCGCCATGACATCAGTGGGCCGGTTTTGGTCCGACACAAAGACAAGATGTACAGGCAGCTTCGTCAGTTAAAGTGAGAAAACTACTTCTCAGGCAAATCTTAAACTGATATGATTTTTAAACATTTAGAACCGTCCCTGAAAGACTTGTCTTTCCTTACTGTCTTCAGTCTGCAGGTTCAGCCCAACAGCCACTCATCTTCATCACCTTCCTCTTCTCATAACATGAGTAGCAGCAGCAGTAGCACAAGCCAATCAGAGAACAGCAGTACTGTCAGCACGCCCAGTCCTGTCACCCGAGTCAGAAGTAACTGCAAACGGTCCAACAGTGGGGTAGGGATGCAAAGCGACATGAGCCAGAACAACCAGAACCAGACAGAAACTGAGGTCAGATCTTAACTACGCTTCATTTAAGTGTTTATGCCTAATATTACATTTTCCTTTAAGTTTTAAACCACCACTTAAATACTCTATTGGACCCACTTAGGTCTTCAGGAATCAGGTCAACAACAATAACAGCAGCAGCCTGGTCTTCCAGGTTCCTCACGGTCACAAACCAGGGACCTTCCCCACCTCCCTTGCCCACAAACACATCATCTCACCGATCATCGACAGCTCTTCTGTCAACTGGAGGACCGGCAGCTTCCACGGGTACAGGGGGCGGCACAGCAGCAGGCGTGGCACGCCATCTCTAGAGGCAACTGACCAAGATCCAACAATCTCCTCAGGGAGGATCAGTGCGCTGGATCATCGGCTGAGTGTCTACGACAATATGCCCAATGACAACCAGCTGTCTGAGGGGGAAGGTGGCGGGAGTGATGTGGAGAGGATCAGCGAGGAATCAGAGGTGGGTCTCAGAGACTTGACTTATTAACAAGGTCTTAAAAGTTCAAATTCACCAAATATTATAAACTTATCTTCAAAGTTATAAAATTAAAGAGGACATTTTGATGCTACTGTCCTGTAATCAAGCATGACTGAAAGTTAAAATGTTTAACAATGAAATGTGCACTTTGCTTGATTCTAACTTTATTTTATTCTGAAATTATCCAGTTTATGTTTATGTTTATGTTGGATTAAAAGAAATATGTAAAACTAAGGACTAAAAGTGATAGGTCATTGTTGCTATGGTTATCCCTGCCTTTTCGAGGTAGTGGAGGCAAGAAACACACAAAACAGCCACTGTCCACAGTATGGAGGTTGTTTTTAAATTAATTTTACACTATAAGACTGCGTCTCCAGGTCAGCACATGTGTAAAGTTTAGGAATCAGCAGTTCCTCATGTAAGAGATGTGACAGGTAAATGAAACCTTCAATTTTGCGACTGGAAGACTAGAAGAAATACAATAAAGTTAAGTAAGATTGAGGAGTGCTCTATGTACTCTTGGGCAATTTGACAGAAAACTTCCAGAAAAAATACTTAGATCTGTTTTTTATTGTATATCTGGAAATTTAATATAGATTTGTGAAATGGAAAAATATTTTTCAAGTTTGAATTTTAACCCACAGATCTACATCCAGTAGAATTTTAAAAAGCTAAGGAGTGATTTTAAATTGTGGGCTTTCTCATTTTTAGATACTTAAAGTAAATGTTTGTTGCAGCAGATACATATCATTCTGATCTGAAACAAACCAGGTGAAGTGAGAATATATTCAATATTTTTAAGAAACTCTTAAATGAAATTCTATACTAACAGCAGTAATTTAATCTTTGGTATTGATTCGGCTAAACTTAACTCCCTGTGGAGTTGAAGCTTTTCCCATAAAGTCCAAAATATCAAATTTAGTTGAGATGAACTGCCTGGTCGTCTCAGACAACTTATATCAATCTCTTCTGCATTATGTAGCAGGAATGAAGTTTGATCAAAATTTAGCAGTACAGGGTGGGAGAGTAGTTATAAAATATTACTGACATTATCAGGAAATTCCTTTGATTTCCCCAAAGCCTGAACCTGAGAGCAGCCTCTAAAGGCTGATAAGACTCTCTGAACATCCACCAGAAGTAATCCAAACCTGCTCTGCTCACAGGTGAGTCCGCTGATGGCAGCTGAAGATGTTTTCTCCGCCCTTGACAGCGTTCTGGAGCGAATCAATGACCTCCAGCAGCTTGTTGTCTCCTGGTCTGAAAACATTTCAGAGGATGATTGTCAGAGAGGCTCCTCCTCTTCCTCACATAATTCCCCAGCCCATGGATCCTCTGGCCCTTCTCCCTGCCCCTCCTCCCCCAGCCACATCCACCTGGAGGTGCAGCATCCAGAGGAGGAGGACGCCTCTGAGAAGGTAACTAAGGAGTCGAAGACCAGTGGATCACAACAACCCAGAAGGAGGTGAGTTGAAACCAGATAAATCCACAGGTTAATTTCTGAAACTGGCAAATCTACTTTAGGGACTCTGAAGTTACTTTTAACAGCTTCTGCATCATTTTTCACGATTTCCTGTTGGCTTTTTAAAACCTTAAGGTTACTTTTCCAAACTTTTTTTATCCTTTTTTAATGAACTACTTGTTACTCTCCCAATGTTATGTATTAGAATCTAATCACCTCATTAGGATTTACCGGGAGAGACCATCATTTAATTAGAAAATAGGCAGAATGGATTTTTTCAATCACTCACACATAAATTAAGTTGCGCAGCAGAAAATATCTTGCTGATGTTGGAATAAGTGTCACGTTAAAACAATATTGCACAACATTTAATTAAAAACACACTAAAATTACAGAAACTGTAATGCGTTCTCTTAAACTTAATTAAAATGTCAGATAAGGTAAAACAATAAGTCTTGCCTGACTTGTTGAGCATGGATGTACTAAACACAATTCTTCAGGGCAGCTTTGAACCCACAACATTTCGTGAACCCATTTTTTTCTTTTTTGCCTCAACATCGACTGGTCCTCCAGTTCTGTTTGACACAAATCCTGTTTCACCTCATCACTTCTTCCTTTGCAGCGTAACTGAACTGCTGCTCTGTGTCATGTGTCCCACAGGGTGAGTCGGCAGCTCTGCTGGTACGGCGAGCAGACCCTGGCCTCTTTGACCTCCAGTCCGGGTCTGGAGAGTCGCTCGGCTTCTCAGATCCTCCAGCTGCAGAAACTTTCTCTGCTCAAACTCACCGCGCTGATGGACAAATACTACCCGTCCAGCAAGCAGGGATGGAGCTGGTAAGGAGTGATAAGGGCTGGGGGGGGGGGTTCATGCATGTAGAAAGAGGCAGAGGGTGTAGAAAGAGTTGGGGGGTACGATTTTGAGCCCCATAGGTGTGTGGAGAAACTTCTTCAAGCAAACAACTGCTGGAAGGAGGGCAGGTGGGCGGGTGGAGGGTAAATATTTCAGGCAGACAGTCATTCATTATTCATAACTCAGGTGCCTGGGCTGAAAAAAAAAAAAAAAAAGCAGAACATCAAGAAGAAGAAACTGCTTTCCATGAGCCTGAGCTGGAGCTGTTCTGATTCGTGAAATTTTGCAAGTGGCAGCTGTGAGAAATGTTTTATTTCACACCTAGCAGGTGGAGGGGGCAGCTGATTAAAATTCTCCGTGCTGCTCAGGGGAGAGGAGAATATCTGTAAAAGTCAAACAAATGGCAAACCAGTTCAAAGAGGAAAATATCCAGAACAGGAAACAGGAGCAGGGAATATTTGTACTGGTAAAAAAAAAAAAAAAGAACTTGGAGATGTTTGTCTCACATTACTAAAATTTAGCTTAAGCTGAGATTGATCAGCTCAGACCATCTGATGAGGCTCCACCCACTATTTAACTTTTCACACACACAATCACAAAGTGCAAATCAGCCAATCAGGTTTCTTTGAATGATGACGATGACTTACTGAACTCCAACCATCAGAATAAGGGAGATTCAAGATGCTTTAAACATGTCAGACACTATCTGTTTCAGAAACTGCTGAGTTCCTGGCTTTTTAATGAACAGTAAAAATCTTTGGAGTTTGTGACGAAGAGAAAATATTAGCAATCCTGTGGCAGAAAATATCCTCTTGATGTTGCAAAAAGTAGCAAAAATAAACTGGTTACAACCCAGATATGCAGAATCTCACCTCTGAACACAGAATATTAGAGCAGTCGGTCTGCAGCAGCAGTTGATCACTGAGCTGCATTTTAAGAATAGAACTCAGACAAAGTTGGACATGAACAGTTTGGACCTGGACCTGAATCTAGCAGCGGCTTTCAGAGGGTGCTCTGGGTTTTATTATCTTTTGTTGAAATGCCAAAATATGTCTCATCAAAAGGAAGTGACTCAGTTCCTATCAGCATGTGAGTAATGTAATCAAAACGAATATTATGGGGTCCAGTTTAGGATCGTTTGATACTTTTACTTTGAAGTTAGACCTGAAGCACTTCCTGCTTTCCTAGCATCTTCTGACTTTGTTTGCTCATACTGCTGGTGCAGTCTCCTAAAAACTCTCATCATTACAGCACTACATATCCCAGCATGCAGTTAGTGAGAGGTGATAGGAAACCCTGGACAGGTCAGCAGTCTGGCCATATAGAGAAACATGACCACACACTCATGCTCATATCAAAGGGCTATTAAAAGAGAAATACTAACCAAATCATTATGTTTTGGACTGTGAAAGGAAGGCAGAGTATCTGGAGAAAACAGGACCTTCTTTCTGAAACGCCCAGCACTACCATACAGCCCCAGTTTGTTATCTATAATCTTTTATTTAAGGGTGTAGACCTTGTTCTGCACAGTTTTGACGAAGTGTAAGCCCCACCCTTAACGTCCCATTGAGAAGCTTTCCTCCCACTATGCATGCAGGTTGATGGTTCATGAAAATTCATGAAAAGATAGCCATCTAGGAGGTGGTCCCAGGTTTACACAAGCTTTGTTCCTTCTTTGGTCTTTGGTCATTCTTGCGTTTAAACACTCTCTTCTCCTTGTCTGTTTGACCATTTTAGTCTGTTTTGCTGTATATGCAGTGACCAGTGGAGGTATCGCATCTTTCCCTTCTTTGGGAAACGCTGGGAAACATTGGGAAACGCTCTTAGTGGCTTTTGGAAGCCGGAAGCTCTACGGAGTGATTCCCACTGGCAGGGAAAACTGCCACGCTAAAGTTAGATGGCTATACTAAAAATGCCTGAACTCCTGTATATCTGCAATCAATAAGTAATTTATTTTAATGAAATCACCTCTTCTGCCACACAACATGGGTATTAATATAGAATAATCTGAAAAGAATAATCTGTTTCAGAACATTTAGCAGCAGTAGGGAACATTGATTTAAATTATTGGTTAGGACATACCCTAATATATATCATTGGTAGGAATCATTGCTATTTTTGTTTTTTAATGAGCATCTATAGATCTTGTTTTTAGGGTTAAGGGCTACAATGAAACAGTGGAAGTTTTTTAGGCTCTCATAGTGGTTCAGAGTTTGGATAACTAGAGCAACAATTATATAATGCTACATCTACATCATATTTGCATGTTACTGGTTTTTACTGCTTTTCTAGCTCTGTTTTTGTGTTTTATAGGAGTACTGTAGTAATCCCTGCCCTGTGGTTTCCGGTATGTTGTCAGAATGAGATGTGGGTAGAGAAACGATGACATTGAATGATGTTTGGAGTGCTAGCTGCTGTCTGTCAGTCAAACAAGTCTCAGTTTGTTTTGACTGCACTTGCACTGATACCAGAAAAGTCAAAAAAACTTAACTCAACTTGCCACAGTGGTTGCCGCTCACCAATCCATGCAAAAGACTCTTTCTGCTCTGGCTTGTGGCTCAAAATGAATGAAAAGCAGGGTGGTTGAAGCCTGACAGCCTAAGAGTGAGTCTTGCAGAGGCCGATGAGCCGGGGTGCTTTTAAACTCTTGCACAGTTTCCAGTGTTATTTGAATCCAATCTCCTCATTTATGCTTCTTTTCCAGCAGAAAATCAGATTCTAACCTACTGCTGACTTCCCTTGGAAATAAAATTTTTTTTTGGATCATCAAAGATTCAATTTTCATAATACTTTCAGATCCTTTTAGTGACAAATGTGCAAGCGTCGACCTTTCTGTCGTTTGAATCTAGAGATCTTCATTGCACTATTTGTCAATCCAAAATCTTCTCTATATTAATGGATATAATTTTTCTTAACTTCATTCGGGGTCACCTTCAGCTTTAAGGTATAAGATTATTAGAAATAATGGGGGGGGGGGAATTGCGGCAAAGGGACAAAGGACGTAACATTAGGGAGATAAACTCCTGTTTATTATAATAGAACAAAAAGAGCTGACATCCCTCCTTCTCCTGGTTTATTCAACACTAAAATGACAGTTTGTAAATTTAATGAGGTTTGTGTTTCACCTCCTAAACTCAGCTTTTACTAAAAGTCCTCATACAAAAAAAGACATTCATTTCTATTAATATTTATCCACAAAAAATTGACATGTTTTCTTTGCAAACCATTTTTGTAAACACAAGACCTGCTTTGCTTTGTGCATCAGAGGAAAACCAATTAGATTTTTTTTTGCACAGGGGGTTACGCTCAATAAGATAAGACTCAATGTGGAAAATAAGCATTTAAACAGAAACCCCTCATGAAATCACTCAACGTCGATATTCGTGTTTCAGTTTTGGGGATCAGACATGTTTTTGCAAGGAGACGGAAGAAAAAGCCAAACGCTCTGTGTGATTCATTTCTGTTTTAGCATTTAGAAAGCTTTATTTTTTTATTTTATGGACCTTAAGACTTGTTAAGAAATCATGTCTTCAAAGAAAATAAAAAAAAAAATCACCATTTGTTGTGGAAATATAGCTTAAAACAATGCAGTCAAACACCTGCCTCACAGAATAAGATCTTAAAATGGACTCTCTAGAAAAAAAAACAATGTTTTGCCCCAAAATCTAAATTATTGCATTTACTCTGTAAACATAGTTTGAAAAACAGTAATTAATTTTTCTGTTTGTTTGTTTTAACGGGAATAAGCCAAGATAAGATCATTTCTTGGTCATTTATTGAACATCGTTGGTAAATCTAAAAAGTTTTGACAAATAATCTGAATATTTCTAATACACCCCTTTCCTTCCTATTTTTGATAAATATTAGATTAACATCTGTTGTATCTTTCCTGAGCACAGGCTTGAAATGTTGGAAAAGCTAGATTTTCTTTCTTTTTTTGCCACTTTCAGACAGTGAGGAGCTTCAGTAGAACTTTACATTTATTCTATTTTCTATTAAGAAGACTACTAAACTAATCAGGTTGGACAGGTACTAAAAACTCAAAATGTTGAAAGGAAATATCGATTCCTTACAAATGCTCCTTTCAAACGCAACAACAATTTACTAAGTGACGGAACAGCACTGCTGACATTTCATTTTTACTTAAAACATAAATAATTTCCTCCCCCAGATACTTTAGTAATTTGCCAAAAAAAATATAAAAGTTGTCATTTATACAATCCCACATAGCAATATGGATTCAACATCATTTAAGTTTATTGAATCTGTTTCATGAATTTTAATGTGAAGGAAAACAAGAGACCGAAAGACATGAAAGATACTTAGCCAACAAAGATCCTCCCTTTTGTTTACTTAAAGACAATTAAGTTAATTGCATTTTTGTTATTGACTCACTTCAAAATCTTGGACATAAATTAAGCAACAGTTAAAACCAATGGTAATTATAATGAAAAATGTAAACATAAATGGTAAAAACTGTCCCTTCAGCAGGCTTTGGTTTAATGTCCCTGCAGAGGAGGAGGGAGGAAAACCCAGAGCTTGAACAATTTATTCAAGTGTTATCGTTTCAGCAGTGCAATCAATGATCTCAAAGAGAAGTTAATTATTAAAAATTTAGCAATTAACTGCTGATTGGGACAAAGCGTGACACTCAGAAACACTTTTCTCAGAAAAGCCCATTTGTTGCCGAGAGCCACTCTTGGATATTTTAGAAAAACCAGAGGGATTTGATGAGAGCCGGTGTAGCGCATTCAGAGAAAGAGCTGACACCAGCAAGAGAAACGCTTTTACCTCTGCTTGTCCAGGGACTTTACAGCTCTTTCAACTAATCATAACAGTGTGTTTTTTATTAATAATGTCAGAAGCTTTGGCCATTATGTGTAGAAACGTGGACCGGATCAGAACAAAAACATGAAGTCATTCAGAAATTCTAGTCTCTTTGATAAAAGTCCATGTTTTTCCTCCAGTGCTGATTAGAGCGGCACACACATTTCAAGGATCAGTGGGGATTTATGTAATCAAAAAATGTTTATTTGGGATTTTGCTTCAAAAGGAAACGGATCAAAAAGTCATCCAAGTCAAGCTTTTTTTAACACTTAAAGAGATTACAAATTCCCAGAACGTTTCCAGAATTTCTCAGTCTCCATTAGTTTCTGTATTTTTCCCGAGGCACATGTACACATTGTTGGATTGCTTCCTTCTTCACCCCCCTCAGGATTTTAGGGTCTAAAGGGATGTTTGGATTTTCCAGGACTGTTCCTAAAACTCTGACAAAGGCAAAGACGACAACAGAGGTGAAAGGACAACAGGTGTTCGGGGTTCCTCTGCTTGTCAGTGTCCAGCAGACAGGAGAACCTCTTCCTCCCTGCATCCTCAGAGCACTGGTTTACCTAAGGACCGAATGTTTGGACCAGGTAAACAACTCTAAACTGCTGTTCAAGCAGACGAATAGAACAAACAGGAAAAACTCTGTTGCATTTCCCATGTGTCCTTCCTTTCTCTCTCAGTTGGGTCTTTTCCGGAAACCGGGCTTGAAGTCTCGGATCCAGTACCTGCGTGAGACGGTGGAGTCTGACCCGGAGGGATTTTCATACGAGGGTCAGTCGGCCTTCGACGTGGCTGACATGGTGAAGCAATACTTCAGAGACCTACCTGAACCCATCTTCACCAGTAAACTATGCGGGACTTTCCTCCACATTTTCCAATGTGAGCAGAATCATGTTAACTCGCTCTTTGAGTATTTTGGATAAGATATTTTCTCGAGAACCTGGTTATTAAGTTATAGAGCTATCAAAACAATCTAGAAGCGATAGATTTTAAGCTGTAAACTTAAGTGTCACAGTTAAAATCATCACCGAGATATGATGCCTGTCTACACAGGACCGTGGGGTTTTAGCCTTGGTCTAATGACTCGATGTCTCGTTAGAAACTGCTATAATGTCGGTTTTTTGCCTACATCCATGTGGAAACTGCATAGAAAGCCCAAATACTTAAAGGAAACAGATCTTTACCCGGCCTCACATTCTTTATACTAGTGAACAAATCCTAAAATAACTATGTATACATAGAATTTTCAGTTTTGGGTGATTGTAGCTTCCCCTAGTGGAAAAAAGCTGTATTGTTTTGCCTGAAGGAAGACAACTGGTGTGTTTGGATCCGGTGGCTGCCTCCTGCCAAAGGCCAGTTTCGTCGACCGATTACGTCGCTTTTGTTACCGCGGCCTGTTCGGATTGGAAGGCAGAATTCAAAACCGCCCGCTAACTACAAACCATTAACTATCAAGTGTCATTCCTAAGGAAGTCACACTCGCAGCTGCGGAAGGCGCCTTGAATGAAGGTGGGGGGTATAAACGAGAATGGAACGGCTCCTTCCTTCCAATGGAAAAGGAAAGCAGTTGCTATGGCAACACAGTTATGCCACATGTGCGTGGTTGTAGTTGTGTGGCGCAAGGGGACATAAAATCAAACATTTGCCCCTTTCTTGAAACAAATGTATATGGTCACATTAAACTATTTTAAAGAAAACCTAATTAATGGAATTCATTACGGTATGTTTTTTTTCATATGCCTAACTTGTGATTTTCTGTCAGTGTGATGAAGTTGTAGCAAACCAATTGAACTTACCTTTGAATGCACATATTTCCTCTGCTACTAGTTCGCCATTACACCCGCAGCCAAATTTAAGAGAACCTGCACTGATGCAGACTCACTGTTTAAGAGTTGAAAGGTTCACTCGCCCTAACGACTAAGTCTTTTAGAACGGCCCTTAATGCGGCTGAAACGTGAAAACAGAGGGGTGGTGCTAAGGGGAAGTGTGTAGGGGCCAATTTGATATTCAGCCGAAGATTCCTTTGTGTTTTGCCAACAAATGCAGCCTTTTCTTGAGCGTTTTGATGGACAAGTCTGATGTGTCCTACATAGCCCTGGGTATATTGTGATTCATTAACTCATGAACTATTTAATAGTGCCACACAAGTCCAAGCAAACCAGCTGCTCCATGCTCAAAGGAAAGGGGGAAATGGCGTCGAAGAGTGGTGAATATTGTTAGTGCAGTTTAATATAATTAAAGTATGTGAATAATTCTGTCTGAAATTAATGAAAATAGCTCCTTTAAATTGTTATTGAGTCAGGTATTCTGTGGATTATGTTTGGTTTATTGAAAGATTTTTATCTGTCCCTGTGCAAATGGGTTTAGCTGACATTTAAATACAGATTCCAGTATCTCTGCAATGTAGGCACTACTAATCTGATATCTGTAATGACAGCACTGCTGCTGAAGCTCCACAAAAATGTAACTAGCACACAGAATAGTAGTGAGAAGTTCTGCATCCATTCTTCACATGTGTTGTGTTTAAACTGTCACAGTTGCTTAGCGACAGAGCGTACGTTGAGTGAGCGGCGGTGACAGTCGGAGAAGGCTGGACCTGTTTGAATGCATAGCCAAACTCTTCCGGCCTCCTTGTTTTCACGATTTAAAGGAACCAGTCCAGGTAGATCAGGTGCTTGGAGGACACAGCTGCTTAAACCCATCACACCCACCTTTAATTTAGTCGCATTTAGAAATTTAGTCGCATTGACTTCCGTCTTTATAATGAATGGGGAAAGGGGGAAGTGACATATGGCAGGGTTACTGTCACCCTCCTCAATGTTACTTAGTGCCTGTTAAAACCATACAGAGACCCTTTGGTCATGACAGAGGTGTCATTCAACTTCTTGCAATTCAACATATAATCACAAGAGTTATGAAAATATTTTAAGAAAGTTAAAAAGTTACTTACATAATATAGGAATGCTCCTAGTCTTCCTCTAATACCGATGTACTTCTGCAGTACTATTGCATACTTTTGTGAAAACTATATGTTTTTGAGCAGCAACTCCAACCATGATAAAGATTTTTTTTGAAAAATCAAAATAGTTTTAGGGGATTTTTGGAGAACTGGCCGCTCATTTAAAATATATAAATCTTATAAGCAAAATGAATTTCCACAATTGTTGCTGTGTTTCACTTCCAGACTTTCCGAAGGATCAGCAGCTGGTCGCGGCTCAGGCAGCCATATTGCTTCTTCCTGATGAGAACAGGGAGGCTCTACGGACGCTGCTGTTTTTCCTGCGAGACGTGGTAGCCTGTGTGGACGAGAATCAGATGACTCCAACCAACATCGCCGTGTGTCTGGCTCCATCGCTGTTCCACCTCAACACCATAAAGAGGGACCCGCATGCAGCCAGGTGGGCAGAGAGCTCAGGTTTAAACAGGAGCTGGTTCTGGGTTTAACATTGGCTAGTGAACTCAGCAGAGGATGGAGGGTCTGTATCTGACCCACATTGTCCTGTTACATAAGGCCTTGCAGCCGTTATATAAGATCTCTGCTGCTGCTGCATCTCAGTTTGTTTGCTTCAGTTTTGGCCTAAAATGAAAGAGGATTTAGATCAGAAGAACTCCGAGGTTTTTCTCTCATTTGTTCTTCTTCTGCTGTTTCAGATCAACAAAATGTTTCACCTGAAGTTCATTTTTATCCATCATCCATCTTTTACCTCTAGCTTATTTATATAATTCTAACTTTGTCACTATTGATATTAAAAACAAAATGAATAGTTGTAATTATAAAAATTTAGAAAGTGGTGTATCACTAATGAACCAGTTAACTCTTCAGTTCCTTTACATTCAGTCTTATAAAGCTGTTCTTAAGTTCAGACAGAGACCAGATCCAGAGTCTCTCCCCCCCTGTTTCTGTTGTATAAGAACAGGTCCTGCTTCCAAATGGCTCCGTTCTCACGGATAGTATCAAACCTGGACAAGATCCAGCTCTTACACTGACCTCAGTGCTTCCAGTAGAAAGCTGTTGGCTCAATTTACACACAGAAAAATTATATAACCTCCACGAGTTTCCATCTGGCCTCAACTTCACCCCAGATATGAAAGAAAATATTTGCCAGTCGGCTTTGAGCTAAAACCAGAGCACTAACGACAGGGAAAAATTAAAGGCTAGAAGTGCCTTTGAAAATAACTAATGTTAAACAGATATCAAACATTTCTTTAAGTCAATGTTTCTGTATTAATGGATTTTTTGATGGTTCTGATGTTTTAATCTGACTATAAATGTTGCTTTAATGAGCTGAAAATCATAATTAAACAAACCGACTGACTTCTTCAGTAAAAAAAACTTTTCAGTCATCTAATTTATTATTTCTATATATATATATTCATTTAAATGCTCTAAATGTTTGATTGGGTTGAAATTATGTTTTATCTCTATAAAGAAGGGGAATGTGATTTTTATTAGATATATTTACAACAATACTTGTCTGTGAGTCTGAAGGTTTGAGTTAAAGTTTAAATAGCATAGACAGCTGACTGGAAGCTTGCAGCAACGGGTGGGGGAGGGTAGGGCAATAATCTGTGCAGCATAGAAGCAGAAAAGACCCAACACTTTTTATTCATAAAGACATTGTCATATGGAGCTGTTAATATCTCAATGTCAAGGAAATTAGTGATTCTTTGATATTTACATTCATTTTTTTTTTCTTTGGGGACTAAGTAATACATAGAGTTGTTTCAGAAGAAAAAGTGTAACAGACAGGATTTCTCGTCCCACCCGCCTCCATCCTTCTCCTAGTATCTGACTTCCTTTTATTCACCTCCTTTTCCCAACTTTGGACCTTTCCTCTGATTTTCCAGCTCCACCTCTTCCTCTATTTGATCTCTGGGCTTCACGTCATCTTGGAGTTTACCTTTAGAAGCACGGATTTCAAAAACTGACCAGCTCTTCTGTGTTTCTTCCTTCTTTTTTCTTCTATTTGTTTTAGTTTCAGCACATTTCTCTTTCAAACAACACCTGTTTCAATCCCATTTTTGTTTGCTGTAGATCATGTTTCTCAAAGTAAAACACATAGGAAAAAATACCATGCTTGCAATAAATCTGCCCAGTGGGTGATTTAGAAACATGGCATCTTGATCATTAATGATAAGAAATAAGGAAAGTCATAGATGACAAAAATCAGTGTGGAGAATCTTTAAAGTCTGGTGGCTGTAAAACTGAAGGTCTGTGTTGTTTCTGTAGATCGGGTCACAGGAAGTACAGTCTGGGTCGTCCAGACCAGCGGGACCTCAGTGAGAACCTTGCTGCTACTCAGGGGCTGTCGATTATGATCGCAGAGGCCCAGAGACTTTTCAAGGTATTCCAAAACTGCCTTAATAAAAAAAATATATAAAATAAAACAGATATTTAGAGCAGAGATGTTCCTAAATAAACTGGATTTTCTCTATAGCTTCCAGAGTTTTGGCCTGGGCAGAGTTTATTAGAGGACCCCCCTGCAGGAGGTGTAGAGGACCTGGAGGAAAGCAGAAGCAGGTTGCACCAGATTACCCAGCAGCTGCTGAGCGACTCTGGAGAAAAGAGCGGAGGATGGGAGAAGCACCCAGCTCTGGAGAACGTGGAGCTGGCCTTCAAAAAGGTGAGCAGATGGAGTGAGATGGTGTCTCTAATTCAGGTTATAAAGATTGAAGTTTATTTATTTTTCAACATCTTTTAAAACATTTAATCTAGCACAGTTAAATAATGCAGATATCCTTCATAAGGGGTTTTAAACAAGCTTTCAGATCATGGTAAAATGTCTTAAAATCTGTTTTTTTTTTTGTTCATTATCTTATGTAGGCCAGTTAGTTATACGTCAGCCTGTACACCTAAATTCGGCCAATCATATATCATTGGTCATCTGGCAATCAAATTTTTTCGGTCATAGCATCTTGATTCATATGTCGCAGCTAATATACGCAACGCTTGAAATAAGAATAAGAATCATTTACTTTACCATTTAGTTCCGTCCCAGTGTTCACAGGGATGGACGTCTGTGTCTTCGGCAGGCATAGAGCTAACAGAACTGGCAGCGTTGCGAGGCAAGGGCTCAAACATTTACAGCTGTAAGCCTTCTACACCAAACCAAGCTTCTGCCACCCTGGCGTCCTCTTTCACAACAACTTTGTTCCCGCTTTCCTGCTTTAAATAAAAAATGTATGACGGAGGAGACTCATCCACGACCTCCGACACAAAACTCTCCTCCTCTTGCACGTTTCTGTTGTCCATAGCGTTCCTTAAAAGTGTCGTTGCTAAGTAATTTAGTGCTACTCAATGTAATTTCCTCTTGGGAACCTACTAGCACTAAGTTGCTAACTGGTTAGCAAGATGCTTGAGAGACATCGGCCACAATCAAACTTGCTTGTGAACCTTCCGCCACAACAATCCTGTCCTCTTGATAATCGACCAGTCACATTCACTTTATTCAATCGTGTAAAGCTGGGCACCAGTTGGGAGAATTCGGAAATGCAACGGTTGGAACAGCCGCTTTCCTACGACTTTAAAGCTTTGCTTCAAGGAAACAGTATATGTCACCAGAGCAACCCACAATTTAGAATTTTCTGACTACAGTCGTTGCATGACTCAGCAGGTTCAGCAGTTTCTCGTCGTGCCATCAAAGGTAGTTAAAAAATGTTTACTTATCAAACGAGGCCTCTGCTTGTGTCATTGTTTCCATTCAGTTTATCGTGTAGGAAATTTCTCCCTGTTTTATCAACTGACACTTTGGTTTGGCTCATCAGTAATCGTCATGTCTTCTCTCTGTTCTCCTCAGATGAACGACGGCTGCCCACTGTGGATGTGGCGAGGCTCTGTAGAAGTGGACGCTCCACAGACGGACCTGCTTCACCGGCTGCTGAGGGAGCAGCAGCTGTGGGAGGAAAACCTGCGTCAGGCCGCCGTCATCCGGAGTCTTTCCAAGGACATGGAGGTGTACCGCTACACCCTCCAGGGCCAGGGCCACGATTTGGGCTCGCATCCCCCACAGGAGAACCTGCTGCTCAGGTAATGAGGCAAACAGAGCTCCACAGAGCGGGTAGGACGGAGGAGTCACTCTACCCTCAAAGTGTCAGTTTGAGTAAAATAAAAGCAGCACTTTTCTTTCAGAGGGTTGATGCAAGTTTAAACGCAGCCTAAAGTCAAATGAGAAAGAATGACGTTCAAGTTTGGACAGCATCACAGAGCGCTGTTTCATGTTTCCATTCTTTATTACAGCTTACATTTAATCACCCCCAAAGGAAAAAAAAAAAGGAAAATCACAACAGCTCTGTTTTGCAAATCTCATAGAAAAGAAAAACAAGACAAACCTAATCTTTTACAAAGGAGTCTAAAAAAAACGGTCTTTAGATCAGCTGACAAAAACAAGTAGTGACTTACAAAAGGAAAACACTGAAACTGTTGTAGACGAGTGCAGACTTACATCTAAAGACTTTTTTTAATGTATTAAAATAAAAAAAAGGAGAATTTACTTTTGTTTGGTAAACATGGAAGTAAACTGGTTTAAACCAAAGAGGGTAAAAAAAAAAAAAAAAAGTAGATTAGATTTTCTTTAATATCAAACATTTGAGTTTGTCTAATCTTTTGTTTGGTTATTAACCCAATTTATCAGATTTATCATTTAAGAAAGTGATGCATGATTTTCTTAAGTTAAAGTATTCTGAATCCAATTCTTCTCCTGAACAGAACCTGGCAGGCAGATCCGTCCTGTGGGCCTCTGTACCTGTCCTCCATATCGACAGAGCTTCCTGAGGTCCAGGTGGAGGGAGTCAGGGTGAACGTCCACTGCTGCCTCTACTCGCTGGAACCCACGGGGGCCACCAAAACAAAACTGACACACCTCTGTCGAACAGATACCAGGTAACAACAGTTATATCCATCCATGTCCTGTTTGTGGATTAACAGCTAAAGGAGCATCGTTTGAGGAGCTTTAGGCCTAAGATGATTCAGAGTTTCAGCAGACATTTAATGTTAGAGATTCTGTGGGGAAACCTCTGAGTAAAGCTCCTCATTTACAGCCCGGATTCAACTCTTGTTCATCTTGTATTCTGACCAAAGCCAGATGTACTGGAGGAGAACAGAAAATTGTAATTGTTTCACAAATAGATGATGAATGATGGAGAGCGGCTTGGTCGATTGTGACATTTGGAGATGTGGATCCGTTCTCATTGACATAACTTAGCTGCTCCGTTGGTCAGATGTGAACGGAACAGAGCAAGAACAGCAGATGAGGAAACTTGGTTACTGACACTTTTTTGGGATGAAGTATTTCTGAACAAAACAATAATTTCTATAAGGGGGGAAATTATGCTAGTATTCGGTTCTTTGGTATCAATGCACATCTATAGATTTGAGTACATGCCCATGGTAACGGTTCATGTCTACCTAAAAGCCCTGATAACTGGCAAGCGCCACAACTTTAAGACTTTCTGTATAATTCCCCAAGCAGTAAAAAAAAAAATTAGGGTTTTTTTAAAACTCAACCAAATGAACCACTAAAAGCCCCAGGATTCTTATTTCCCAGATAATGCTAATCCTGGGTTATTTGTCAGCATGTTTTCCCATTACTCTCAAAGTCTAACTGGCTCTGCACTACATTTTCAGTCCAGTGGGTGGTGATGATTAGAAAGTACAACTGGTTCTTCCTTTACCACCAGCTATAAGTAAATCCTTCAGCCTAAACAGTGTAGTTCTTTGACATCTTTTCAATCAACCTGCAAATTGGAGTGTCTTTATAGCAGCATGATTGATATAAAATACCCACTAAAGACATACTAACACCATTTTATTTTATTACCAAATAATATGCAGATATCTACAGCACAAACAGAAATACATTTTAGTCAAAACTGTATATTTATAAATAAGAAATAATACCTTGATTTTATAATCATGGGCAAAGATGTATGTGAAGTAAAAGCTGCACACAGTGGAGTCGGAATGTGAGGAGCCAACAGACAGCAGCCGACTCGTAATCTCTCCTCTTGCAGCGCTGTCAGCATAGAACCATAAAAAACTGTAAGAAAATCTGTAAACTTACACATGTATATAAAGGGATTACAATCCACTAAATTAGGTTTTTATGAAAAGCCTGTCTAAGGTGGGTAAAAGTTAGAGAGCTTTGTCAAATCCTTTATTCCTTTATTGAAATTTTCTTCTTTAAACTGTGAAGAAGAAGTTTATATTTGATACCTACATAAACCAAAAATGTCAAAACCTATCTGGGAAATGTATTACATTTCATATTCAGGCATTTGCAGTATTTATATTTGCTTTCGTGTTTATGTTTGACAACATACTCTCAGGATTCCTGTTGCTACCCAGTTTGCTTAACTAGCCTAGCAGCTAACTTCGCCAATCAGGATTTAGCCATTCTTAAAGCCTATATAAAAGTGAGATTATAATCTTGCAAACCGACTACACAGACAACGTTGGGAGGTGTTCTTTCTCACTTAAAACATCTTAAAACTTATTTCATGACAAACTAAAAAATACCATTTGTATACTCACCTTGGGTTACTGTCCCCTATGGCGGAACAAAGTGCCACAACTGAACACAACCCCAACCCTTTCAAAGTTCTCAGGAACGCAAGAAAGACCCCAGAAAGTGAAAGTACCTGGGTAAACAAGAATGGAAATGGTACCTGGGCTTTCAAGAGCCCAAAGCTTTTGAGTGGAAATTGAAAAGGGGTTTAACTTTTTTCCTTGTGTATCTTTTGTTTCAGGGGACGGTCCCCGGCTTGGCACTGTAAAGTCAGCGGACACCTTCTGGCCTCACGTCTGTTGGCGATCAGAGACTCCTTCAAAGCAGACTATAAAGAAACTAAAATATGAGTCTGTATCGGACCAAACGCACTTTTGTTCCACGCAACAGAGTCAGACTGCCTCCATTTTCAGGAGACGAGTTAATAGAGTTCCTTTGAAATGTTTTGGACCTTTATAAAACCACTTCCTGGAGGCAGAGGAAGAAGCAGAGGAAATACCTCCCCAGCAAGGACAAAGACAGGAAACGAGGACAAATAACTTCAGGAAACAGACATTTAACCCTCTTACACGTTTGGCATGAGGGGAATTGAACCAACAACCACAAAACCCCCCATATACAGCAGAACTAGAGGAGCTCACCAAGCATCTTTTTCTTGCAGCATAAATGAAGAAACAATGGTAGACCAGACGTTTAGCAGGGAAGTCCCAAGTGTGCTGTGGTTCTGCTCGGTGGGACGGCAGTATCCTCAGCACAAAGACTTATTCCCAGAGCAGCTCAGACTTCGCTAGAGTGTTCACAGATGGGATCTCACCAAGAAAGAACCATCCAGAACAGGAGTAGGATCCTGCAAGTTCAACGGCATGGTTCTCCACTGGAAGAAAGCCGATTCTAGAGTTCAGATATTTCTGATGTTTTGTTCCTGAGTGACAATACGATTGAGAAGGGAATCAAAAGGATCAGGATACGATATGCAGGAGCATCTACATTGGCTCATGAACCAAATGAAAAATCAGCCTTATTGGAAAGGAGATTAAACTAACCCTTGGAGAAAAGAAGCCTGGAGTAAACAGTGTTCCTCCATGTTAACACCCACAGTGAGCTGAGACGGATGTCTCAGTGACCCTCCTGGACCTGAACTCTGACACTAAAAACTGCTAAAGGTGTAAAGCTAAAGCCTTCCAAACATTTAGTTGCTCAATGGGCAACTTTTAGAACGCGGCGGTTTGGTTTCTGTGTTTACAGCACAGCAACAAACCCCCAAATTTAAGGTCATACTGTGTTGTGCATGAAATATTTTAATAACTCCTTCTTTCCCTCTATTTAAGTTAAATATTAAATACAGATGTTTTTTTATTTAACTGCTAGCTTAAGGAAAAAAATGGTAAGGTCTAAATCTTATCAATGCCAAACAGCTAATTAAAATATGTACTATCTCTGAACCTGCGTCTTGTTTTTATTCTCCCCTCTGGGATCCGATTTGGTGCCAAACAGATTACTGACGGTAATTTCAGAGGAAGCTGGAGGAAACAGCAGGAGGATTGAACATGAGCTGCCACGCTGCGTTGCTGAAGAGAAGGAGATTAATACAACTGGCAGCAGGCACACTTCCTTAAAACAAAAAAAACTTAGGTTTTTCCCCCTCAACACCCACTTCTGACATTTACATAAAACATATTTACATTTTTTTATTCATCTATGAGAGAAACCATAATCAGAGTGAGATGCAAGAAAAAAAAAAAGGCAAAGTATTGGTGATGCCTACACGTCGTTTTAAACAGGAAGTTGAGGAGGAGAGCTAATTTATGCAAATTCCAGCAGAAGGCTGAGCGGGTGTTTAATATCTGAGAGGCAGAAATGTGCTGTTCCATCTGGAGTTAAGAGCCATGAAAAGAACTGTGGCTGAACTCTGAGGTTAAGCATCAGGAGGTGGAGACCAGAAACACAGAAAGATATTTAAGTCTGCTTCCTCTGAGTAGCCTTCCTTCTGCTGTTTGCAGTAAAAAAGTTACACAAGAGCAGCTTAAATCGTTTAGTAAAACTAAAAGAATTTCTTCCGAATTCAATAAGAACTACATGCCAACATTATTCAGCCTTAAAACCTCCCATCCCAGCTGGGAATGTCTGAGGCAGCCAATGAGAGGCTTACATCAGATGAGAGAGAAGACGGTAATATTTTATTTCATGCTATAAATGTAAGGAAAATCTCATGCCTCGCGTTAAAAAGTGTCCAAAAACTTGTAGCTGTAGAAAACTAGTCCAGGAACTGATAATACTTAAAGGCTGCAAATTTAAGAAAACAGCAAATCCAGCAAGTAAGACAGAAGCACCAAAAAAAAAATAAAAAATTTGGAACCACAGATCCAGTGGTTGCTATGGTAACTCCATCCTCTCTCCATCTGTGAACCCACAACATCGCTTCTCAGAAATGCTACAACCCACTGTGTGAAAACTACATATCATGGTTATACAAGAGGTGTAAACAATAATCGTTTTGTGTCAATGCATCGATGCAACAGCCGACGATCCAATGCATCGAAACGTCCGCAAGAGTATCGATTCATGTTTATTTTTATCCATTTGCTCCTGGACATAGTTCTGACTCCAGTGCTGAGCTGGCGCTAAACCTATTTTGCTCTCCTACCTCGCTTCCTTTAGCCAATACCCTCTTTCTGCTTGCAGTCACACTCATGTAAACACAGAGGCATTATTATTTCTCAGAGAATGAGGTTTTTATAGGCCTAAGCGGAGTACAACTTTGCTACTTCTGTTATTTGAGGTTGTTTCTAAAATAAAATGCATAACAATATTACAGCATTCATTGATTTATTTCAAATTCAAAACATTGTCTAGCCTGTAGGGTTAAAAAAAAATAAAAAAAATTAACCAATTAATCAAATTGAATCGCATGGTGGTTTATTGTTGAGTGTCGAAAACAATCGTTGGGTCAGGAAATTGATACTGAATCGAATCGCCATTTACTGAGTCCCAGAAAATAAAAATAGCACAGGATCAACAGGCTTTACACAACAACATTTTTTGGTATACTTAATTTTACGTTCATCAGATTCAACATTCTTAACTTCTGACAACTGTGTGAATAATCCTCGTGAACCTGATGTAGTCCTCCTGTGTGTAAATGAGAGGCCTTCATGAGAATTTCAAATCTGTATAATGTTCACCCCAATAATTCCAAATAAGGCTTAATTTCCCAGGGCTTAGGGCCCTGTCTCACCTTGCTGATTTAGTCACCAAATGCCTAATGTCCCAGAATCTCCTAAAACGTTGGCATACACTGAACTTTCTATGTATTCTTTCAATTTTGGGCGTATACATAGCGTATTCATAACTAGTCCGGAACTTATGTCCAATGACAGCCTAACTTATGCATAAGGCACGGCAGCTTAATCCCCATGAAATGTCACAAGCCAGAGTCCTGAGGGGGGCAGCAATGTGCCCGGAGGCCGCCCGGCTTACATAAAAAGATGTCTTTGATCGCATTATTAACTTGGTTGCTATTTACCGCCTGCCAATAAAAAAGAATAAATAAAAAGAAAAAGAAGGCTTGCAGTCGCAGCAGATTTAGCGTCATGTCTGCGAGGAGGTATGTCGGTCGTGGCTGTGGGCGTAAATGCAGGGAGGATCTATCACACTCACCTTTATGCTCACAATATGATGGGGATGAAGCCTGGAAGAGAACTGACGGTTTCCTCCTGTGATCTTCTTTCATACCAAAACACTGCCAATACGCCGTTAAATGGTTGTAAGTTAGAAACGCGTTCAGAGGTCGTCTGGAACACTCCAAATACATTGGAGGTAAATTCTACATAAGTCATGCACAAGCTACTAATAGTCTTTGGATAAGCCAAACACCATGACTTATGAGTAACTTACACTTAACTTATGTCAACAATCAGATAACATATGGCCCACGTATGAGCATACAATGGCAAACGTCGGGAAATTATGGGCATGCTCAAAATTTCTCTTCGTACTTGCCGTATGTCGACATGTGCCAGTGTGTTTCAGCCTGCTTATAACTTACACATAATGTATCCATAACTTATCAAACGTATGCCATTTGACGATTTAGACCATCGTATGCCTGATGTTTGTAAAATCAGGCATACGATGGTCTAAATCGTCAAGGTGTGACAGATGCTTTACCAGACGGTGTTCTTTCACAAAAAAAGCTTTGAAGAGGAAGAAGAGATTGAACTCTCCACAACAGACTTGTTGATGATATGCAGCATTTTACTGGTAATGCTGAAGGACCTAAGCTTCCTTTGTTCTGTCTGTTCTTGTGGACAGCTTCACAGTTGCATCTTCAAAGGGTGTGTTGTCCAGGTGAACACAAAGGTGTTTATACTCCAACACCACCTCCACTTTTTCTCCTTTTTTTCCTTGGAAATCTACAATTATCTCCCTTGTTTAGTTGATATTCAGGATCAGATAAAGTGGTTCATCAGCTCAAATTCAGCTTCTTGTCCATCTTTGATCCAGCCAATGACTGAAGAGTAATCTGAGTATTTCTGCAGGTAACAGGACTGTCTGTACACCTCTGACTTCCAGTACAAGAGTAAAAAGAAATTGTGAAAGTACCCTCTCCTGTGGTGCTCCTGTCCTACTGACTACTTGATTAGACAGCTGACCCTTCAGTTTTTCAAACTCTTTGTCTTTGATCATGTAAAATGCAGTGAAGCAATCAAAGAACACGATCGACACAGTGCTGTCTGCCTTGTGTAAATGACTGTGGGTTTGTTAAAGCAGGTTAAAGCAGATGGCATCATCAACTCTAACTCCTAGATGCTAAGCAATCTGCAGGGAGTTCTGAGAGCTATTTGTTTGCTTTCTACAATGGACCAACAGCCTGTATGTTGGCTATCAGGGCAACACATCTGTAGTCACTGTTGGCTGAGTTTTCTTTGGTACCCGAACAAGGCAGAAGGTCTGTAACGTTACTGGAATCGTCTCCTAAGTCAGACTAATGATGCAATGACACTGAAAACCTTGCCAGCAACTGGAGCGATCAATTTACAAGTTATCCCTAGAGGTAGAGGCGCGTTTAGGAGCGCTGCGATGCAACGGGCAAACTTCTAGCAACAAGACCGGCATGATTATGAAGCTTACAGACATGAAACCTGTAATAAATGAGCAATATCTGTCACTGGAGTTGGAAAATCTAAACTTCATTTGGAAAAAGAACACTCTAAAGAGGTTTGTGGGTGGTTTTTCAAAAAGCTGTTTTAATTTAGCCCCTTTAAGGACGTCTAAATCAGTCATCGTTCATTCTCCTCTTGTAGCTTCACAGAGGAGCACAGCCAACCACCTCGTCCCAGCGTCCACTGTCCTCCTCTGATCTCCAGCTGCCCCCCTAAGCTCCAGAGCGGGGCACAGCCACCCGTCTCCCTGTCCTGTTTTACGTAGCTGCATTCTGACATAAAATCCTTGTAAAACTAAATTTATGACAAAAGGGGAATTTATCATATAAGTGAGGCCATTACTACATTATTATGGAATAGAGTAGGAATTGTTCAATGCACTATAAGACTATAGTGCTCTCTGCAGCCACTTTAGTGAACTGCATGTAGTTAAAAGAAATACTGAGCAATACTGAGAAATACTCTCTGATGTACAGAATCTCATGTTGAAGTTGACGTGCGTTTTTAAATTAAAAAGGAAAAAAGTTTTCCTCCTTCAGGATTTCGGTGGGTACCTAGGCTTTGTTTGTAGAACTTTATAACGCGAGACAAACAATCCCATTTCAAATTAATTATAAATCACAGGCTCTCTGAGGCTGCCTGGAGGACACTAATTGTTCAGTATGCTTCTGCCACCTGACAGTGTTACACTTCCACTCATATTAAAGTTGCATGAAGCAGTGATTCAGAAGTCACAATGTTGTTGTTTAGAGTTCTTCAGGCTCATGAAATATCTACACTGCCATATGTTCTAGGACCTTATAGCTCATCTCAGAACTTTTATGAGTTTTGTGAAACATTGACTTGGCTTTCATCAAGCTATGGTGGGTTTTAACTTATCTTTTCTATGCTGCAGGTTAATGATGGTACGTGGTTTCAAGAGAAAGCAGAAGGTGCCCATTATCACCTATGGGGCAGAAATGCAGAGCAGAACGAAACCAGGCTGTTGGTGCATTCAGACAGGAGGTATCGTCCGCGTCGAGCGCAGTGAATTAACATATGCTGAGTTTTATTTAATTCAGGGGCTACGTCCTCCGAAGGCCAGATTCGTTGGCTGATGACATCATAGCACGGAGCCGTGGCCTGTTCGGATTGGAAGACTCCTCATTATGCGGCAGACAAATGCTGCCTTCTTTTTGCTCGTTTTGAAGGATTGGTCTGGTGTATCCTCTGAAGCCTTGGATATCCCAGCATTCATTACGAGTCCAAGCAAGCCGGCTGCTCTGTGCTCAG